TGTGATTCCTGAATACATCTTTGAATCCATCTTTCAGACTACAGCCTTGCAACAATGCTCCTTTTCAATGCCCATCAGCACCTACCCCTGCACGCCCGCCCTGGCATCTCCCCACAACGCCCGGTATTTACCGGCCGGGGAGCCAAACACCACGCTCCCACTCGGCTCCCCGCGCCCAGACACGAGTTCTTCGTGGCTGTGGAGCTGGAGACAAACCGCTGAAGCAGTGAACATTGCCAGGCTACGGGCCAGCTTCGCTCGGGGAAAAAAAAAAAAAAAAAAAAAAAAAAAATACAACCCTAAACTTCATCTCACCGCTACGGCAAAGCCCCCTCGCTTCTCCGGGGGCGCCGCGGGCCCGCGTTCCGCGAACACGCGGGTCGTGGGGCCGCCCTGAGGGGGCACCCCCCGCCCTTCTTCCCCCGGCGTGCCAAAGCCCATCGCCGGCTCTTCGGCTCCGTGGGCGTCTCGGGGTGCTGCTGCCCGTGGGCTTCTCCCCACGGCGTGACCCCGGGGTGTGGGGGGGTGGGGGCGGGGGGGGTGGGGGCGCAACCCGGCCCACAGCGAGAAGGAGCGGGCGGAGGAGCGGAGACACCCCCTTCCCCAGGCACGGCCACGCTGTCTGCTTCCCCCCCCCCCCCCAAAAAAAAAAAAAAAAAAAAAAAAAAACACGCGGGGGTGGAAACCGCGGGTTGGGGCGGCCGGGGCTCGGCTCGCAGCGCGGGGAGTCCCCGCATCTCGTGTCCCCCCCCTTACCACAGCGCGATCCTGCTCTTGGGGTAGCGCAGCCTCTCGATGCAGCCGAGGACGTGGGGCAGCGTGTGCGCGGCGTTGCGGGCGAGGACGGCCAGCAGCACCGTGGGCTTCTGCAGCGCCGATTCGGGCAGGGGCTGGGGCTCGGGGCTGGGTTCCGGGGGCTCCGGGGGCTCCGGGGGCAAGCTGGCCCCGCAACCCCCCAGCAGCAGGAGGAGGAAGAGGAGGAAGAGGAGGAGGGGAGGGGGACGCGGGGCGCGGAGCCCGGCGCACGCAGCCATGATGGGCGCGGGGAGCCGCGCGGGGCCGCGCGGGGCCGCGGACCAGGAGGAGGAGGAGGAGGGGGAGGAGGAAGAGGAGGAGGAGGAGGAGCAGCACCACGGCCCGGCCAGCCCAGCGCCCCCAGACCCGGCCTTTGTGGGCCTCCCCCGGCCCGGCCCTCCCCTCAGCGGGCTGCCGGCGCGAGTGGGTGGGTGGGGGGGGGGTGACCCGCGTGGGAGCCTCTCCCCCCTTGGGGAGCTCCGCTCAGCGCAGCCCCTGCGCACCTGCGTGTAAAAGTCACAAAACCTCACATTTCACAAGCGAGTTTGAGGGTTGGAGGGGCCGGCTGGCAGCTCCCCCCCCCCCGCCCGCCCAACGCGAGGAGATCCCCTCAGCTCCCTGCTTCGGTGAGGATCTCTCCCTCCCTCCTTCCCACCCGTTTCACGTCAAAAAAAAAAAATGGATTTGGAAGCAGCCTCGCCCACGGTCGCCATCCCACGCCGCTGCGGAGGGATGCGCGGAGCGCGGTTGCCCCGGCTGGAAGATGAAAATATTATTCCCTGTATTTCACTGGCTCGCCCCCCCCCCCCCCCCCCCCCCCGAAACGTTCCCCTGCGTGGACCGACAAAAACTTAACAACCAAACAAATAAAACGTGTTGCAGCCATTAAAATTATTGGCTCATGATCATAAAAGTGATACGGTAATCACAGCTTTCTTAGAAGTTAATAGGATTTGGGCATGTTAAACCCTTTTCAAGATGAAATCTCTAATTAAGGGCCCCATCACTGCGTATCTTTTTTTTTTTTACTGTGGGTAGGTAGCTCCTCCAACGTGAGCAGATCCACTTTAAGCAGGCAGCACCGTCGCCTGTGTGCTTGCAAGACTCAAATCGGAGGAAACATTTAACAACCGAACAATTGTTAATTAATTATCCATAATCTCATTGTGAATTGTTTGCAGCCCAGGTAGCAGAGAGAGTTCGAGAGAGTTCATGTCTGCAGTGTTCTTTGTTTATAGAATGTAATTTATCACGCACACCAAATTCTGTTGTCTCAGTTTCCTGATCGGGTGACTCCCCAAAAAACTAACGCAACAAGGAACATCCTAAGAAAACAGTAAAGTTCAATAAAGAATCTCCAGAGGCTCAATCATCTGTGCTAAAGTTTGAGAAGCTTCTGCAATTTGTAAGCGTCTTCCTGAACAATTAAAATGTATTCCTCCTGTTTGCCCTTCATGACACCTTTACAATTGTCCTTCCAGAATGATACATTAATGAGGCTTTTCTTTCATGGTTAGTTTGCCAAATGTTGCTTTTCTGCTTGGATTCATTAACCAAATAGAACGAGCAGCTTTGTAGTCTGGATGAAGTGATTAGGGTTTTGCAGGAGCCAGCGATTCCACGTGCGTAACGCCGCCGTCACCCACGGGACCACTTGTGTTTGGAGGATGGGGACTAACGCCACTGAATTACGCTTGACGTGGAGGGCTGGCAGCTGTTTTTTCCCACCCACTGGATATTCAAGCCGGGTCACAGTCCCGTTTTTAGGAGGTTATGTGGCAGCTTCGGGAGAAATACGCACCTCCTGTAACCCCCTCTCTGCCGTGCCTCCTCTGCGGATGCAGGTGCCACAAAAGTTTTTCCCAAAAGCAAAGGAAGACCTGGGAGGCAGAGACCACAAAGCCTCGGATTTGTCCTATGTGCAAAGCAAAGCGTAAAGGCACAATCCAGTTACACCTTATTGCAGTCGGCATCTTTGCGGAAGGTTGCGTGTGATTTTCAGCCCCATGCCGCTCTTGATGTCTTCAGTGAAATCTGAAGTGGCTCCAGCTCTTTTCAGTCGACCCCCTTCTTGTTTTGTGAACAGCATCAGAACCGTAACGATTTGCTGGGGGCAAATGCAATGCCCCCAGCAGCATCCCACAAACAGTAATTTTCTCTTCAGAATGACTTTCCCGTCACTCACACAACTCACTCTGTTGGCTGCCTCGTGTTGGTACACAAAAGAAAAAGTCTGTCCTTACCCTGGAGAGGGGTAGATGCCTGAAACATGAGATGTTTGTTCATGCATAAGAGAAAGGAGTCAACTCAGCTTCATTTCTTACTCCCAGCCACAGAGCCCAGATGAAAGTTTGGAAAGTTCGGGTCAAGAGTTACCCTTACAATTAATGTCATTCTTATGTCTAATAAATGCATATATCTTTATGTGCATATACAAAGAAATCTGTACACATTTTTGACTTCTTTAATAGCGGCCAAAATGATATCTTGTACTTTTTTTAAGCCAATACCCAGTCCTGCTGTGACTGGACAGCTAACCTCCCTGTGGTGAAATAGTTGAGGAAGAAACAGCTTTTTGCAGATGGAAGTCCCATAGGAATAAATGTAGGCCATTTGTTTCAGCCTGCTCTAAATACCCACACCAAGCAAGAACAGTCCAGCTGTGAGAAGTGTCTGTGGCAGCGGCGTACTCCCTCAGTTTGGCAGGTAACAAATTCTCTCAGAAGCAGCTTTCTTCTAATTTAGACTTGTTTCCCATGCAGTAGAAAACAGAGGAACCATCCTTCTGATAAAGCATATCGTATATAGACCTACAAGAATCTATAGATAAGATTATTTCCTTTCAATTGCTTCTTCACCTTTGAGGACTCAAATCCATCCAATTCTTTTCCCAGCAGCCAAGTGAACCTCTGTTGCCAACGCTTCCATGACAGTCTCAGAGATTGTATTGGTTTTTTTCCCCTTAAAAAAAAAAAAAAAAAGAAGTGTTTGCTACAACGATGCTGTTTAAACAGGCCAACCTCCTCAAAATTGCCTGCATGAGATTGGCCCCAATATGTCTTACTGTGGCTATAAACCACACACCAATTTATGTACTCCCTATATATAGATTAATTTTCATTGATGCTTTATTACATAATAATTATTAAGCTTATAAACAAGATGGGTTAAAGACAACACTGTTCGTTTTTCACTAGGCCCTGCACGTATCTGATCATCTCAAGATCATATACGGTATTTCCTTGACAGTTCCCAACATCAGCCACATTTCTCTTGCGTAGCCTGACCAGGAACAAGCGCACACGCCAGGGCTGCGCACTCTCTCATCTGATGTCACAGGACGCTCTGTGCATCTGTTAGACACACACAACTCTTTTTTTTGCTGCATGGACGCCAGCTTGAACCTATTCAAGAGGCTGTAAGAGTCAGGCCTGACTTCACTTAAGCCAGTGTTTTAAATTTATTGAAAGAGGTGCCAAGACAGATGGAGCCAGCAAGCCAGACCTGGGACGCTTTGCATTAGGCAAACTGGAATTATTCGCACTGAAAGTCAGAGGTATTTCTAAGTAAAGCAGTCCAAGATGCTTTTAATAACAATACCTTGAATCTACATCTCTTCGCCAGTCTGTAGCAGCTCTGGACACCACACATTGATAACATACTCTACAGAACCCTATACGCGAAGCATTTCTGAAGTGCTCCCCGCCTCCCATTGAAAACATTCTAAATCCAAAGAAGCTGAAATTCGTGCCTGGGTTGTAAACTCTGCCTCGTTCCCCTAAAACTTCTTTTCTCCAAGCTCCACGTCTCCTCCGTGGCCTCCTCCTCCTCCCCCCCGGCCGGGTCTGCGCACCCCGCGGGGCAGCCCCCGAGCTACCTGCTGGAGGCAGTTATTTGAAATCCCCAAGCCCGCTCCCGAGATCAGACCTTGCGATTAGAAACGGGGACGGCGGGGAGGTTGATAGATCATCCTGAAAGCTCGGGGGGGAGGTGGCGTGGGTGGGTGTTTAATGCGGCGATGGGGGGGCGGTGTTAGGGGGGAACGGCGTGAGGGGCGGAACGGTCGCGGCGCGGCCGCCGCTGCCAGGGAGCGCTGGGCTGCGCGGCGCCGGCCGGAGCGAAGCCGCGTTACACCGGGGGGTGGGGAGCGCATGGAGCCGGCGGCGGGCGCGGTGGCGGCGGCGGGGGGGGGCGGCGGCGGCGGCGGCCCGGCGGGGGGGGGCCGGCGTCCGGGGGGGGCCGGCGGCAACTGGATGGCGACTCACCCCACGGTAGGCCGGGGCGCGGGGCTCCGCCGCTTTTCGTGGCCCGGGAGCTGAGGGGCGGCGAGCCTAAGGGCTGAGGAGAAGGGCTTTCGGTTCACTGGGGGTCGGGGGGGGGGGGGGGGGGCCGGTCTCCCACCCGCGCCCCTGAGGGGATTCCCCGCCCCCCCCCTCCCCCATGGCTTTGGGGAGCATTTCAGCGCACCCCGCGGCCGAGGGGCGGGGGAAGCGGGTGTGTGTGTGTCCCCCCCCCCCCTGCTCCGGAAAGGGGGGCTGGAGGAGGAGATTTTAATATAACGTGTTTGGTTATATCGAACCCGAGGGGGGTCGCCTCCCGGCCCCGTGGGGTTGCGGGGGGAACGCCGGCTTTGGTAGGGGATGAGGTTGTACACGCAGGAAACGCGAGCGTCTAAAGCTTTGACTCCATCTTAATTTCTAATACAGCAAAAACATGGAGGTATTTAATTTGGCTGTCGTCTTCTGTTGATGTACTGCAGCAAAAATAGCTAAAATTCATAGCCCTTCTCCACAAAGTTAGATCTGTTCCAGAAATAGTTGTGAATCCTCATTTGCTTGTTTATTTAGCTTGCTTTCTTAAGCACCAAAATAGGGGGGGTGTGGAAAAAAAGAGCTCTTAAGATACCTTCAGGAGGCAAGTCCTGCTTTTTAATTGCCTGTTGGCCCTTAAAACTGTTTTCAGACTTCAGTGGCTTAGATAGCTGTACAGATTCTGGGTTTGGTCCGTGCATGCTTAATATAACTTCTGCTTTCCTTCACCAACATTACTTTTTGGGTTTCAGTTCACCGAAATGATGTCTCTTGATATATCTGACAGCACTCAAATCTACGCTGCGTTTGTGGTGTACCTGGACCTCTTAGAAGGTAATTCAGTGAAGTGACATCCCAACAACTGTACTCACCTTTGGGCGCTGTTAAGGTTTGTGCGCTAGCAGGACATTTCCTACAAAAGTCCTTGGCGTTCTTTTTGAAAATTAATGCAGTGATGGTTACCTAAGAAACATGGTATTTTGGCGCTGAAGATTTCTGCCCTGTCTACCTGGAGCCGTTTGGAAGATTAAGGCCCATTGGGTCCAGCAGTTACGAGTGCAGGCGTTCCAAGGCAAAAACACTCAGCATGGAAAAAAACCAAAAGAGGAGTAGGGGAAAGAAAAGGAACACGGGAAGGTGAAGTTACAGGTTCGGTAGTTGTGCTGGTAATAGTATCCTCATTTGTAAATTAACATCTAAGTTACTGATTACCATTTAGCTGAGGTATGCCAGCCTGATTAGCATGCTCTTTTCTGGAAAGGGCAGAATTGCTGTAGGAAAGAAGATAATTTGTAGGTCTGGTGGCAGTAATTATGACAGATGCAGTGTAGTCTTCTCCTGCCTTGTAAGAGTGGAGCAGAGTTATGGGATATATAAACTTCTGCCTGCGATTCTCCCAAGTTGGCTTTAGTGAAACAGGGCTGTACGTAGGCAGGCAGCCAGCCTAATAAAAATACTTCAGTTCCTCTTGGAGGCTGGTGGTTCTCAGGCTCAGGGGAGAGAGGGATTTTACAGGCCAGAAAGCGCTGTGTCTGTATTGTTACACCTCTGAATAAAATGCCTTAATAGACTTGTAAGAGAAGGCTCCCGTAGTTCTGCAATGAAAACTTTTAGCCTTATCCCTTCAAGCAGAAGGAGAAAACTGTGTATCATCAATAATCTTGCTTTTAGCACTTGTTCCTTCACAGTTTAGGGTGCCGATCAAGTTCAGATTTGGATTACAGTTTTATGCTGCAGATGACAAAGATGTGTTTTGTCGACTTCTTGCCTTTTTGAAACAAAGCTTTGTCAGACAGGTCCCTATTCACCATCCATCAGTGTAGCTCTGGAGTCAGCAGACTAGTACTGTTCCCGTGGGTTACCAGGATTGTTTAAGAGAAGGGGAACTTGACAGTTAAACGGGATAGTTGTCTCTCTTGGGAGATGTCCTGTGAGGAGAGGGAGGGGAAAACAGAACCTAAGATGTTAACTTAAATACCAGATTTGATATTTGAATGTTTGAAACTTGTGTTTTGTGTTCTGTTCCTTCTCATCAATGATGAACCTTTCCAGGGAGAAACTGGCATGAAGTGAAGCATGTCGGAGTAGCAGAACTGCAGCTCGTATGTTTACATGCACGTGAAAGAGAACAGGACAGTCTCCAAGTGATGGTGCCAGTACCTGTGCACATATCGCTAAGCCACGAGAGGTGAGGATGTGGTCAGTGTTTGGCTCGTGTCACCGGTAAGGTAAAATGAAGAACAGGTATATTTATCAGGCTGCTGATGACTTGGTCAAGAGGGGGAGGAAGCAAAGGAGTATCAGAGGAAAGCAATACCTCAGCCTGTGAGTGGAGGCATTTTGGGTGCTGCAAACATACATGCAAAGTTGAGATTTCCTTAATTTTCTAAGCTACATCAGTCTCTGCTTCGCCCTCTCTGAAAGTGGCACGCCTTTGATGTCAGCTTCCCACAGCAGCTGATTCCTTCTGCTGATAAACACTTCATATTGTTTAGAAGTTGCATATGCTCTGGGAGATAACAGTGGATATCAAAGTATGTGTTTGGGAGGCAAGGTTAGAATACGAGACCTTCACAGCTTACGTTTTGAACGTTCTTGCGCTGCTTTTTTGTAGTCTGGGAAATCAAGCAATATGTTTTGTGTCACTGGCCTTTAAAGTACCTAAGAGGAAAGAAATTCTCTCAGACCTGTCTAAGAATAAACTTTTTTAAAATTGTTGAATCTATGGATAAGACTGGTGTGTCTGGTTAGGTTTGCTTTTTGTTCTGAAAGTATGATTTGGCTACTTTCAGCTGGAAATTCCTCTTACTTATTAAAAGTCTAATGTGTAACTGTCCCTTGAGCTGTGATTTTGACTTACTTTCCTTACACATGCAGGACTTAAGTAATTCTCAAGCAGAGGACAACACAGCTGTGAATTTGTGATAGTACAAATATTTGCAGCCTAGAGAAATTCTGCTTCAGTAATTTTACAGTATATTTTAAGTGGCCCTTAGAGCAGCCTCAAATACGCAGTATGATTTACTCACTCTCTGGTAATGGCTGCCTTCTCTTGCTGGTATTTGCCGTTCTTTCCTACAGTGCCTCTGAAGACCTGAACTCTTGCAGATGCATCATATGGCAGTACGTTTTTCAATTTCTTCTGTTCCTACTCTTGCTAGGAGCCGATGCTCAGGGCTGGCTTTACAGATCTTGCTAGTGTTTGCTGTTTCCTCTTGCTCTGGGGGGAGCAGCCTGACACGGTAGTAGGTAGCTGATGAATTGCGCTTAGCAGATGTGTGTGTGTGCGTGCTCTAGGAATAATGTTTTAGACATGCTTTGGGTTTTGCTTTTTTTTTGTTTAGGTTTTGGAAGTGACAGATTGGTCTCTTGCAAACAAACTTCTGTCTTAATTCTGCTATGTGTTTTCCTAAAAGCGTATTTGTGAGGGGGAAGAAACTCACTTCCTAGATACTGATGGGTTTAAGTACTATCTGTGTGCTGAAAAAATCTTCCATTTGCAAATATGGGTCAATCACTCTCGTGGGCTTGGTCTTACAGGGAAATAATGGTGTCACCACCACAGCAGAGGAAAGCTGCTGAGAGGGCTTGCAGGATGAAATGCTGAGTGTCATTCAGCCTCTCTGCAAGAAGCAGATCACTGTGTGTGAAAGGGACACACAGTTCGAAATAGATTTTAGGTGGGAAGAGAAGGCAGCAAATTCGGATGGGGGATCTTTGAGAAATTACGCCTACGTGCTGAGTTGTTGTGCTTGCTTAACGAAGTAGGTTTCCACCTAGGTTGGAAGCTTTGATTCCTGGCATTGGGTCAATGCCAGCAAGTATGTTCTAATTGGCTTTTAATGACAGCGAGATATTGCACTGCATGTATGTCCTATCTTTTACTGTTTCATTGGAGCTTTTCATTTGGAGCCTCTGAACTTGTTTGTACTGTGGTGATACTGTTTGCTCTGCTTCTGGCACCGGTGTGGATGGAATCCATTACTGGAAGGATGTGTGTTAGAGAAGCAAAGAGTGAATGCGTCACATTGATTAAAAGTACAGTTTGTGACTAGGGTTTGCTACAGAGCAACTACATAGAGCGTATTGTCGCTAAAATGAGCTGAATACTGAGCTGTAATGCTGGGTGAGTCCATTAAAGCCTGTATGTGCTCAATACCCGTAGATGTTGTCAGGCAAAAAGATCATATATGCTTGTATTTGTGTTACTGAACGTGCATGTGCGTATGCACGCTTGGCATTTCGTTAGCAGGTCCCCACTGGTCAGAGGGGCCTGGTCTGGCTTTGTAGAGAAAGGGACAGCATCAACTCCTCGGCTCCTTTGCTGGAACAGGAGGGAAAAAACAGAGGGTATAGACAATAACAGTAGCTCAAAGTTAGGTAGGGTAGAGGGAGGCCGTTAAAAAGACATCCTACAGAAGGGGTTGGAAACAGTATTACTGTACTACTGCCTCTTTGTTCTGACAGTGATGAGTATTTTGTTGGTGTGATTGTTGATAGCAGGAGGCTTGTTAGGTATCTGATGTCTTAAATGATATTTTCTCACTTGACTTACCGAGCTATAGGTAGACAGGAGAGCTTTTGTACTTAGCTACATTGACGTTTTGTTCAAAGCAATGCTTTGGGTTTTTTAGTTACCTGCTAAAGGCAGAGGAAGAGATAGGAGTACAAGTGAATGCAGCTCACTTAATGTTTGAAAGTAAGCCATTGGAGGGGGTTGGGAAGGTGAAAACATTCTGTGCTCATTGCTGGGCCTGGAAATGTGCTAACTGCAAAAGCAGCTAGCAAATGGCAGTGTTTGTGGGCAGCAATCCCTTGCTTAACCTCCCCTGATGGGTAGGGGCTGCAGGGGTGGTTCTCCTCTCAAGGCCACTTCAGCCAAGCTCTGCCTTCCCAGGTGTCTCGTGAAGATTCCTGCTTGGCTGACACTCAGAGGAGAGTGTCCTTAAAAGGCCATAGTAAAGCTGCTGTGGAAATTACCAGCGAGACACCTAAGCAAATGATAAATATGAGTGCCCTACAAAAAAAAAATAAAATCTGCTCAATGTTTTTAGTCTATTGTAAGATTTCATCATGTCCAGTTTATGCATGACAGTTAACTGCTTAAGGTAAAAGCTGTTCTGCTTACTAAACTTACTGCCCACTTCTATGAACAGCTTGGTGGAAGCTGATAATCCCACCCTGCCAGAGTAAGGCTGCACAGTAAAACTACGGGGTCTGGGGCTAAGTGACCACCGATGCAAACGGTAGTCTCATACGATCTGAGAAGCGGCTTTATGCAGTGCGTACAGGCTCTTAAAATGAAGATTGCTGAATCTTCTGTGAGTAAAAACCTGGAGAATAAGATGCAACTTACATCTGTCTGGGAGCACTCTCAGCCACACACAGCTGTCTGAGGTTTGGAGAACCTTGTGTTTGCACTCCTTTGAATTTAGCAGTGATTCGTACTTGCAGGAGGAATTCGTAGGGCTGTTGGCTGGGACCTGTCCACTACTGCAGACGACACTTTAGCACGCACCAGGTTCCTAATTGTCAGTACACTCCAGAATTGTGGCTCCCCAAAGGGGATGAGGCAGTTAAATACAGGTAGTTCTGCTTCAGAGCTGGCAGGAATGACTTGCATAAGCCAAGCTCAGCAAGTGTAGGTAGGAGAGCTCACAGTGTTGACAGCTGGATTTTCTGGGTAGCGTTGAAAGCCTTGTTCCTTCCACTGACCAGGGAGTTAGATGCTGGATCTAATGGAATTACATGCTGTCTGTCCTAGACAAATGACATTGCCTGAGCAAAATGTTACTAACAAACCATCAGATTAAATATGTCACTGCCTTCTTTGTTTTTTGTATGCAAGTGTTAGAAATGAAGGGTGAAGTCAGTTGCTTGACTTTATGGAGACTGCAAAGTTTGATTTAGGCTAAGAGGGAAAGGGTTATTTGGATAAAATGGTAACTTAATGTTGGAAAAAGAATACATAAATGTTTCATTTTAAAGCTGCTGAGCATCTTTAGAAGCAAATCTGAGGACTGGAAGTGATTTATCCTCTTCTAAATCTGGAGTTCGTGAAACAGATCTTCCTCTAATCTGAAGTGGTTTTCCTTGTAAAAAGCACTGTTGTTTTAAGTGCACTGGAAGTGTGACATGATCCTTATCTTGCATCCTCTTCTTAGTTTTGCCGGTAGCTCTTCTGCTGTAAGCATTATTTGAGTTTACTCAATGCAGTAAATCACACATTGAAAATGTATTTAAAGGCTTCTAAATGCAAACTCTTGATTAACAGTTTCAAAGTGATTGATGTGGCTCACACAGCTGAGTTGGTTATGCAGGGCTACCATTGAATCTCTTATAGTTGGTGTATCTTGTAGAACTTTGCTGAATTCCCCCTTTTGCGTGGCTTGGCTTGTTTTCTCTTTCAAGTTCCATGGAAAAAAAGGACTTTATATTCCTTGGGGTTTCAATTCCTTTTCACGACCAGTGAGTCGTGGTGTTTTCTTTGCTTTTATTTATTTTTTTTTCCATTACAAAATCACGCCTTTCTTCTAGCATCCCACGTTTCTGTAGTTTGGAAACATATCCCAAGAAGTAGTGGCATCCATTTACACCTTCTCCCACCACCACCACCACCACGTGCTTCTTCCCATGTATTTCAAGGCACGAAGTTAATCTAGCTGCAGGGCAGACAGCCGTGTCTGGAGCAGCGTTCCTGATCGTGAGCCATGCCGTGCTGTTTTTGTAGTGCTGGCTAAATTCATGGTGTTGGGCTTTACAGGAGGTTTCCTCTGCCTTGGTTCTCTTGTCACGGGGCCTGTCTGAACAAGCCTGATACAATGGTGCACTCGGATGCACAGAGCAATCATCCCTGTAGTGCTACAGAGACCAACTTGTGTTGACTCTCCAGCCCTGCCTTGCATGGAGGGGAGGGAGCTATTGGGGCTGGCCAAGCCTGCGATGAATTATTCATCCAAGTATAAAGGGCAGATTGAAAACCTTTGGCTTTTATGGTAGGGAGGGCAGTAGTTCCATTTCAGCTCAATGGAGCACTATGCAACCACCATAAAACTACTCTGAGCTTTCAGTGTTTCTGCTGCTTCTCAGAGGTACTTGCGTGGGATATATCACTGAAATACTCTTTTGTTCAACACAAAACGTTCTGCCCGTGTTATCTTTCTTTTATGATTCTGTTCTCTTTTAGGTTTTTGGACCGTCAGTTAAAACCTCAAGCTACGGTTGCCTGAAGTTCACCAGTTTTATGCCTACTTCTTCCTCTGGAGCAAAGGCTGATGTTATTTTGTTAGGAGCAGATCATTAGGAAAGACAGTACAGGTTTCTGGTGTGTGTTGAAGGCCTACCTAGTACAAAAGTCTTTTGTTAATAAAAAATTAAGATGGGGGAAGGATGGAAAATTTCCCTCTTTTGTATGGATTCATTTTGTTTTTAAGCTATTAATTGCAACAGTAATAGAAGACCAGGTGAGTTCACTGTCGCCATTTAGCAGTAGCAGCAGTAAAGGCAGATGCAAGATGACATTCATAGTGCTGTTACCTTAGCTGCAGTGGTCCTTGCATGATGTTAAATAAACTAAACCTGCTCTTACAACTAACTCTTTGGTAGAAAAAAGCAATCCCAACTGACTGTAGTTTGTAGGTGTCTAGAAAGCCTTTTCTGACGCCCCTTTTTCTGATTAGAAATGCCAGCTCTTTGCTTGTGTCTAACAGTGTCTCCTTCAGTGTTTGAGATTAATTCCTTTTCATCTGCTGCAATGTGAGGTGAATGTGAGTTTGCTTCCTGGGGTGGAAACTGAGGGCTTCATCCTACTTGTGGTTGTCTTGGTGGGAGCAGATCCTAGCTTGCAGCAAACATACAGACACCATCAGTTTTTAGAGATGGGTTTTCAAGCTGTTTTGAAAACTTTGGACTGTATGATCTGCAACAGAGGAGAATTCTTATTAAAAAATAAAATGTTTAGTCATATTCTATTTATGGGACTTAAACAAAACTTTCCAGTGTTTCTTGTGGTGTCTGTATTCCCCTAGCTTATGTATGTTATTTGCCTTTTACAAAGCCTTTGTACCTTTTTGTGTGGGAAACCTAAAGATTCCCTGTTGCGTGTTTTAACATTCAATGGTTTTTCTTCATGTGGAGGGGGAGAGAAGGGAAAGGAGCAGTTGCAGGATATTTTAACTCCTAGACTTCCCGCTGTGCGTGCAGCAGCACACACACTTGGTTGTTCTGTGAGCTCTCTTGGGGCTCTAGATGCGTTTTATTTTTTACTAGGTAGTCATTGGCATAAATCCTGAGAAGGTGGCGTGTGAAGGGTTGACTGTCCCTGTCTTTCCTAGCCAGGCCGAGCCTGTGGATGAGCAGGTCTAAGGTGTTTGAGTATTGTGGTGTTGTACAGTGTCCTTCAGGAGATGGCAAAGTGAAATGGTGCCTTCTTCCAACACAGGCTTTACTTGAGACGGTATTAAGCGAAAACATGCTAAGCTTTTATTCAGACACTGCAGAACAGTATTAACTGTTTCTCAGCTGCACCTTTTCTCTACATTCTGCTTCAAACTTGGTGTCTTGCCAGTGGAGTAGGCATACCCGAATGCCTGTTGAAAAGGAGGAACCAGGTAAAGCCAGTCCATGCCAAATGCTTGACACAACAGCTTCTGAGGGGTTCACCCTGCTGGAGCGTGGCCTGTAAAGGCTGGGGAACCAAACCCAGAGAAGTCGTGGACCCCTCGGTATCAGTGGGAACAATGTTTGCTGAATGTGTCCTACCGGAGTCGTGGCTCATGAGGGAAAGGCTGGTCAGGATGCTGGTGACCGAAAGTTATCACCACTGTTGGTGGAGTATGCCAGAGTACTGGGTGTATTGAATCCCCTGTTCCAGAGGCTTCTAATATTTGACACTTTCAGAAGCATTAAATCCAGTTTTACTTAAGCAAAAGCCATCTTGTCTAAGTGACATCACTTCTACGGTGTAGCAGATGTACTAGTCATTAAGGAGCTTATCTGTAACCATTAACTTAGTAAATGAAGTCAGCTGGCTCTGTTGGGGGGAGCTGTTAACATAGGGGCTTCTTGTTTGGGCCTTCACTTGAGTCATTGAACGCAGCTGTTGTGTGAGACGGCCAGCCTAGAGGGCTGTATCTCTTGAAATAAAGCTTCTTGCCTTATTTAGGGGTCAAACATGCATTCTTTTGAATTTCAGGCAGCCAAGAACACTTCTTGCTTTTTTTTTTTTTTTTCTCTGTTTTCTTTTTCCATAGACAGTATTAGATACATCAAAAGGATTAAAACCCCTGTACCTTTCCTGCAATATTTCATCTTTCTGCTCATGGCAGGTAGCAAGCGCAGTGAAATCAGCACAAACCCAGATGTTCCCCGACTCCTCCTTTGAAATGCCTGCTGCTGCAGAGAAACTTGGTGAACCTGCTGGATGCAGAGGCTAAAAGTGATGCCTTCAGGGGAGGAGAGGAAACGCAGGCATCTGATACAGACTTCCTGAATTCCGAAGCTTATTCTTTTAAAAGATACCCTCTCCCTAATCTGCAGATGCGCTGCACTGCATGATGGCTGGGGCTGGTTGTGGTATGCATGAATGAGAGCTCTTGTTTTGGGGCTGCCTGTGTTGAGAAAAGAGGGAAGGGGAGAAGCTGATTCCCCACGTGCAGTAGAAAGCATTGGGCTCTGTGGACAGCAGCGTTAGCAGGTCATCCTGAGGCAGTGGCGTGTCTTTGTGCTCTGTACATAAAGCCTGAAACTCAGTCTCCTGACAAGTCAGTCAGGGATGCAAAGAAATGTTAATAATCTGTTGTCAGGACCTGGCCACTTTTGGGATCGTAGTGCATCTTGTAAGTCTTAAGTGCTAAGTGGGGGGAAAGAAAGGTTCAGATGCCTGTGCTTGACATTCTAAGAAGAAATCATGAGGGATGGGTCTAAGATGGGTCTCTCTCTCTGAGATCCAAGGCCTCGCTGTTACCTCCATCCCCCGAATAGACTAGGCAGAGAAACGATGACAGTTGCTAAAGAAAATACAAAGGAGCTTCTGCCCTGGCTGAGAGGTGAATGCAGGACACTGTTTGAGTCTGCTTCCAGATATGGGACTGTCCACACTCAACACAACTTTGGTTTGAGTCCCAAGTATCTCCCCTGGGTAGCTGTGCCCTTTTATTTGGCTTTTTACTGTTATTTTTATTTCACATTCCCAGCAGAAAGAGAGAGATTATAATATCCACTGCTTCGTAAAAGCCAAGGATAGTTCTTTCCTCACTCGATCCCTGCCAGTAGCCTGGCCTCACCACTGACAACTTATTCAGAGCTTCCTCCAAGCAGGAGCTACCGAGGTGTGACGAGTGGCTGCTTGCTCTGTGCGTGTGTAGCATGGCCAGAAGGACACCTGGAGCCCTCGGCAAGGCGTTGTGGGGCTGGAGGTACCAGAGCAGGAGGTGCCCAGCATCAGCAGAGGCTTCCAGTCCGTTTGTCCTTGCTTCCTGCAGCGCTGCGCCAGCCTGCACACCTGCGATTCACTGGTGCAACTCCAGCAGGCACTCCTTGTTGCATTTTGTTCCTGTTGCAGAACGCTTCCCTCTGTGAATTGCCTACAGCTCTGGAAGCCAGGCTTGCATTTACACTCCCCTTAATACGGTGCAGTTAGAGTTCCCGGAGCCTGGGGCGCCTGCCAGGAAATCCTGCAGACAAAGCAGCACCAGGGTGGCAGGGAGCAGAGATGTTAATGTCACATTGCTCGCAATAGGAGTCTTTTGCAGGTGTCTCTCTCCTGCCAGTGCCCAACAGAGTGTCTCTTTGTGTATTTTTTCTCTTGTTAGGAAACACCCTGATGGTAGGAGGAGCAGAATGTGGCTTTACACACTCTTAGTATCTCTGTTGCATCAGATGGCTAACTAACTATATTGTATTGCCTTCCCTTGCGTTATATATGGGCCAGTAGTGAAAGCAAAAGAAAAGGCCGTACTGAATTTAGTCAAGTTGAATTATGAACAGTTCAGAACACAGATGGATACTTAAGAGGGTCACAGGCTTAACAGCACAGGCTTTCCAGGCTGCTGCTTATTCTCTGCCGCTTTCCATTTGGCTTTTATTAAAGGATCAAAGAGGTTTGGGAGGAAGATGATGATTAAAGTTTGAAAGCTGATGCATTTAGAAAGAGCCGTATTTTCAACTACAGTGCCCAGCTTCAGAAATGCCTGTTTTCTGGTGAATGAGATCTCAGGGACACATGAAGTGAGGAGTGATATTTTTTTGTTTTGTTTTGTTTTTTTCTCCCATCTGCATAGCTGACCTCTCCCTAGAACATAACCTGTCCCGGCAGTCCCAGATGAGCCCTCTCACACCTGACGTTTAGGTGAAGGAGAAAACTCCCTGTGATGGAAATGCTTGCTGGGGGGGGTGTTGCTGTTCTGCCCCTGGGCGCTGCACCCACCCGGTACTTGATCCCTGCTCAGAACAGGAATACAAAGGCTCCAGGAATCGGTGTTGTCCTCAGCTCCAAACTGAAAAGCAACTGGCATGTTATCCTCAGAATAAGCTGAACAGGAAAAATTGCATAACTTTGCCTTGAATTTTTAAGGAAGACATTATTTATGCTGACTGTCTTGAAGAAGAACATTAGTCTTGTGGCTTATAGTCTAGACAGGGAGGTAGAGAAACCTGGCTTCTGTTCCTGGGTCTTCCACAGTCTGGCAGAGAACTGTAGCACAGACTGGAAGATTTAGCTCTACAAATGGAACAAGTCTTAATTATTTTGTTGTCTAATTGAACAACATGACAGCATGTGTTAATCAGAGGGTTTTGTTTGGGTTTTTTTTTTTTTTTAAATCTAGTGAAAGCAAAGCCATTAGCTATTGCCACATTATGACTGTGGTAGTTGAAGGATGGTTGACAGGCGTGTGCACACCAGTAGAGCTAAGCAAAGCTTGGAAGCATGTGTCGAGCCATTTCCATGGGAGAGTATATTTTTATAAGATCCTTTTGTTATTTGATTTTGTTGCTTGATTGTATGACTTTGGGTTTTTATTAGAACCGATGGTATACTTCCTTTAGCAAAGACAAATTTGCAGAATAAAACCAGGCTGAATAAAAGCAGCCTTCGTGCCATTATCGAGTGGTTGTGGACTTCTTTCTGACTGCTTGTTTTCTCTTCTAGGATAAGAGAAATCTTAAAGAAAGCGGCTCTCCCACAAGACGATCCTGACACCCCGCTGTCAGTTACCTTGGCCATAGTTGAGACAGATTCCACAGTAGTCTACTATAAAATGACTGATGGCTTTGTAATACCAGATCCTCCTGACAATACTGAAGATGTGGACAATAAACAGTGGAGAAAGAAAAGAAAGAAGCTTTTCAAATGATTAAGGCAAATGGACTTTTCTTGAACTACTGTCCTCAAATCTAAACAAATACAGGAACTTATGTATGTAAATAAGTAGTGTGCTAAAGTCTGCCTTCTGCATATCAAGCATCTGTCCGGGGAGAACGGATGCACTGTAATGAAATGCCATTTAAAGTATGGAATGGGTCATGCTTTGAGACAGATCGCTCCTGACTAATAAATATACTTGTGAGATGTTTCCAAAGCTAGTCTCTCCTTTATATCTCATCGGGTATGTGATGGAATAAACACATTCTTACCCATGCTGTAAATATTGGTTAAAGATAAGTCTCAAGGGCTTCTGGGAGGAGTACTGATACTAAGTTAAGGGATGGGTAGTTTACAGATTGTCCTTGTCTTAATGCTGTCAGAAGCTCTCGTGCTATCTCCCAGGTTACATTTCCGAACACGTTTCTTTCCCCTGCTTTTGGAGAAAAAACTTCTCCACAGAAACACCTTATTTTAAATTTTTCTCTGCGGAGGGAAAACCGACTGCAACAACACCAAGGGCTACTAGAACAAAGAGTAGGCTAGTAAAGAGGGTGCTCTGGGTCTGCCCGAAGAACCTCTGAGCAGAGGCCAGCCCTTCGCCTGGAGGTGGGTTACACCTGAAGGCGCTGACCCAGGCGGCATCACCCACGCAGCTGAACGCCCCCCACGCTGCAGGCCACGACCCAGAAACATCACCAGGCACTCGTTGCAGGTACAGAGCTGGACGAACATCTGAGAACCGAAGGTGCCTTGTGTTCGCATCCCAGTGCAATCGAGGTGAGCTGCCCTCACCTCGGGCTTCCCGTCCGTGAGATCACGTCGGGGTGCTCCTAAAGCTCTCTGAGGAGGAGCACGACAACGGGGCCTGTTTTTATCTGTCACCAAAGTATGTCACCTTCTGTCCTGTGAGTGCGTGCCAGCTGTTACCTGCTCCGTCCAGCAAGCAGGTTTCTAAACCCATTGTAATTTCTAGGGTTTGTTGTTTTGTTTTTTGTTTTGTTTAGGACATAGCTTCTGCTTGTCGAACTGGCTGCCCAAGACTTGGTGCTTCAGCTAGGGGTAAGTTAAGAGGAAAAAAACTGACTTCCAGTTTCTTCTATGGGAATTTTCCATGATTTTCGCATAGAAATCTTCTTCAGGTTAAACTGAGAGTTTCTTGGCAGTCAAATAGCGTCCCAGAAGCAGCTTCTTGAGTACAAAAATGTCCATGTGACATTTGTGTGGCCAAGGACCACACATTCAAAGTTTGGAGCACAAGAGCTCTTTTTTCGCATGGGTATAAGAATGGGAGAGAATCCAAAAACCCAAGCTGGAAATGAAAGGCCGTTTAAGCTCTACTGTCGCGATGACTCGAGCGGATGTTTCTATGGTGGTGGAGTTTGAACCTCCTTTGGCCCAAGAGGCTGGGAGGCAGAACGGCGTTGCAGAGAGCCCGGGGCAGGAAGGGCCTCGCACCCCGTGCGATGGCGGGTGCTGATCCCGAGCTCTCTCACACTGTCCCTGCACTAGTGCTATTTTTTTCATCTTTTTGTCGGCGGTATATCTCCCTGCCGTACATTACGACAGTATGGTTTCTTACAGCCGGCTCCACCGCCGTGAGCTGCTGTTTGCTGAGGCGAGAGCTTTGGCAGCTGACGCCAGCTCAGAACGGGTTTGCTTCTGGCGGTTTTTGTTTCCAGCTGATCCTGCAGAGGCTGGGTCTGGGTAGGTTACAGCTGTATGGCTGTGTACACCGATCTGTCAGAGCGATTGGACAAGCCATACGGGAGGCTGTGTGTGTTTTTTGACACAGTCAGAAACAAAATGGTTGCTTTTTTCCCCCCATACAGCAAAGGGAGACCGTGGGTCTGCGGGCTTCAGTCATGGAGAAAGGGAAAGAAAAATTCTCTCTTTCTCAACCTTGCTCCCTTCATGGAGGAAAAACGTAATTTTATTTTGGTCCAATGCCATACTGCCTTAAAAGGGTACCTGTGTGCTGACTCCTGACATGCTGTGTTTGACCTTAACATCGATATTTCATGTACTCTACTGCTTACTCCATAAAGTAAACCTTACGCTTTGCTAGGCTACATACCAGCAGCTAAATTGTCCTTGCCATAAGCCGCTAAATGCTGCAGCCCCAATGTGCGTATGTGCTGGAAGAGGGCTGGTTTTGTGTGAAGAAGGCTGTAACAAAAGCTACACATTGCAGAATTTATATTTAAGCGACACACGCTTAACCCCAAAAGCAAATTCTTTTGCATTTGCTTCGATTTCTGGGAAATACTGCCATTTTGCAGTTGGCTACATGACTGATGCTTGGCTTTGTCCTTAATTTTATTATTTCTATGCACAGAAAGAGGAGCATAACTTGAGCTTCTTTTTCTATACACTGAAAACTGCTTACCCAGGCTTCTGAAGCTGAGTTGGGGAAAGTGTGTCTGGAGGTTTTGATTTCTGCCATGTGTCCCACTGAGAAATGATTATATAGGCCTTTTTCCAGCTTCCTTAGATTGAGATGGGTTTTTATTTCTGAGGGAAAAAAATAGAAGAATAAATAATATCACTGTACTGTTTGTCCCGTAAGTATTACAATGTAAACAAGGGGATGTTAAATAAGTTCAGAGCCAGCTGTGCTGTTCCTTTACATTCCACTGAAGTATTTCTCTGTGTCAAGTCAACGGCACACAGACCAGAGCCTCTGGTGTTCCAGGCACTGAATAAAGATGGGAAGAGACTTCCCTTGGAAGTGTATCAGTTCAGAGCAGTAGTGCATTAACGTTCCGAAATCCATAGTATCTTGGTGCTATGCCTGAAGTATTCCAACATTACTCTGCTTTAAGTGTTGGCGAGACATCTGTGGAAGCGTAAGCCGTGACATCTGGCCTTGACACCTTTGCAAATTCATCTCTTATTTCAGTCCAGAAGACTTTACAGGCTACATCTTGACATCTTCTAAAGGTTTTTTTTTCAAGTTTTATGTGCCAAGCACAGCTTGATTTGTTTTACTGTTCACCCTTGACCAACAGAAGGTATGTTTTAAAATTGTAAGAGTATCATTTCCCAGTAGATTATTGTTTCAAGTCTTTTCTCTCTCCAGAGAGATATTTGCATTGAAGCTTCCCCACCGAGTAAAGAATGATAGAAAAGCAAAGAGATGTTCTGGCATGGGTTTGCCGGCGAGACTCGATGCCCAGTTGCATAAGTAACCGTCCACTTTGGTTTATGCAGGCTCTGCTGTTTCCTTGAGGCATTACTGGCACCGTTGCCCGAACCGCCCTGCGCTCAGCCTGAAAGTTTGCAGCGCACACAGAACGTTCCACGCAAAAAAAAAAAAAAAAAAAAAAAAAAACCAACCAAAAAACAACAGCAAAAAAAAAAAAAAACACTGGCCAAGAAGCAGGGAAGCCTTGCCAGGTGCACGGAGAGGGGCTGTGGTAGCAAGAAGCAGCCAAGAGACGCGCGCCCGCAGCTGTCGGCTGCCGAAAGCGAGCGGCTCCTGCCCCTCGCCACGCCGAGCGGGCAGAAGCACGTGTGTGTGTGTGTGTGTGTGTGTGTGTGTGTGTGTGTGTGTGTTTGGGCAGCTCCGTGGCCACGGGCGAGCTCAGCATGGCACGGCCAGGCGAGCAACCCCGTCCCCGCTCGCCAGGGCACGCCTGCACGGCCCCGGCAGCGCTTCGGGAGGGTTGCTTCCCGGCCGCGCCAGCAGCAGGGTGCTGTCCCTGACAAAACGGCCCTCAGCACCCCTGCAAAACACTTCTGGGTTTCAGAAATCACTAGAAGAAAGAAACGGTCCCCTCTTGTAACCCCTTCTCAAGCTGGGCAAGTTTTTCCACAGGACCTTTTGCCTTGGACACATGGCAAAATGTGTGTCAATATATATCAATAACATTACTGAAGTCAGGCGATCTTAATCTTCCTCTTTTCTGGGACAGCAACCCAACAAAGCTTTTTTGTTTACGTTAAAACAATTTTTTTTCTCATAAACAGTCCATTTGAATTCATTAATCATCCTGCTAGTATTTCATATCTGTAGGAGCTACGTGTTTAATAGGTTGCCCCCATAGTTTTTAGGAATCTAAACTCTATCAACTACCCTCTAAGTCCTGCTTCGTATAAATGGGTTTACTACTAATCTCCTCTAGTCTTCCAGGGATGTTTCAGTCCTCCATTATAATCCAATCGTTTAAAACTTTCTTAAGTCATTAGCCAAAGCAAATAAACTGAGATAAATTCAGGCCCTCCTAACTGAACGTTCTCAAGCCAAATAGCCTTTCACCTCTACTTTCCTTACTCCCATTCTACTTTCATTTTATTTGTCCCATCAGCTTTGCGAGGCTGAAGCAATAGCGCTGAACTCTCCAGCCCATTCAATCCCTTCTGTTAAGAGATTTATGGTTTCCTTCATCTCCCTCCTGTTTTGCCTTTTCAACAGTTTGCTCACTGCCTTTCATATTGCTGCATCACATCTCGGCACAGCCCGGTTTTGCAGGACCAGGAGGGATTTGGTGCATCCCTGGTGCGAATCCTGCCTCAGCACCCCCAGCTACAGCAGACACCCGGCAGGGAAGCAACGCCGGCCAGGATTGCAAGGAATCTCAGACTATATCAACCAACAGCAAATTGCCATGCTGGCAAGTAACCCCTATGTAGGAATGAAGATAATTATGAGCAACTAGGGCTTCCTAACTCTGCAAAACTAGCTGCAGCTGCACCTCATATTTCAGAGTATCCCAGGGAGTGGATTGTTTCCCTGATTTCTTTCCCTCTTTTCTCAGATGCTCCCACTTTGGTGACACCATGAGCCCAAGGATCCCCGGGCTCAGCCACAGCAAACCTGACTGACAGCCTATTTGCTGGGGTGAATTAATGAACACGCCAACTCCTGATTACCTACATGCTGTGTGTTGTGTTCTCAGCACCTAACTGACATCACTTATTGCCTTGATGCTTTATCGTCTCATTAATCATTCCTTGCATCCCCACCTAGCTACAAGCTTCTCCCCATGTTTCTTGTCTGGCCATCAAGCTCAGTTTGCCAAAGCTGAATGGCTCTGCTCATCTTTTTCATGGCTTTTTTCCCCCCCCCCTTCCCCCCTCCTCCCCTTTCTCACTGCTCTAGTCATCTTGCCAGAGATTTTTTAACTATTGTTTGCTGCTCTCCAAGCCTGTTTCATATATAGCACCCCATCCCTTAATTATGCTCAACTTTATGTTTTTGTGGTATCTGGCAGC